TAGAGGCTCATTCCCACTTACATTTAAACCAGTTTGCAATTTGCTTTCACTCCAGGTCAGTGAATCCATTCCAATCAATGCGTTGTTTCCACTATGGAAGCAGGTCTTTTCTTCATTCGCTTCTTTTTTGGCACAAGTATCATTCCCACTAGTTTGTGCTGCTTCAAAATGTCTGTCAATCATTTACGTGTCATCAGTGATGCAACCAGCAACACATTCAAGAAAGCATGGGAGGGAGTCATGGGTACCAGAATTCTGCCATGGGTGTCATGGAGGAATCTTCCTTGGGATGCATGGATCCATGGGTGTCATGGAGGACCCTTCCCCCAGGATGCATGGATTCATGGATGTCATGGAGGACTATCCACCAGGATGCATGGGCCCATGGATATCATGAAGGACTCTCCCCTGGAATGTATGGAACCATGGATGCTATGGAAGACTCTCCCCCGGGATGCATGCAATTTTTAAAACATTGACAGTATATGCACGCCATTGTTTTTGCAATTACTTGTCCTGCTCAGCCACAGTTGGTCTACTCACCCGGCTCGCCACCTGTAAGTAATTGCAAATACAATAGGAGCACATATACTGTCAAATATATATAACATATAAAGAAACAATGGGAGGAATAATATAGTATATAAAGAAACAATGGGAGGAAAAACAGCTACTGGGCAGCAGCAGTAGTGGGGGGGTGTCATTGACAGGCATGAATTGTAGTGACACCATAATTAATATTGGTTGGCACTGTGCACAAGGAGGTGTAGGTGGCCCTCCTTGTGTAAGCCCATCACCTAGTAAACCCTATGATGAGACACCCCAAGTGAGACCCAGGCAGGATAAGAGCATTAACAGAAAGGGAAGGAGGGGGAGAAAAAGGGATATTACATTTGCAAAATTAGCCAAGGGCACAAGAAAGATGCCAACACAAATAGCAGACATGCTTAGGAAAGCAAATTGCATCCAAAGCAGCATTACACATAAAATAGGCATATGGAATGTGAGGAGCATGAGCCAAGGGAAGCCGGACATAGTAAAAATGGAAATGGAATGCATGAACATAGCAGTACTGGG